ACAACATTGGGTCCACAATCCTGATCCAGAAGATGTTCCAGTTTAAAAGGAGAAAAAGTGGTCCTTTGAAAGGCATATAGAAAAGCAAATAGTGTTTAAGCTAATTTTCATTGATTTTATTTAGATTGAAGTACACAGTTGTGTATCACGCGATATACTCTATTGCATCTCTACTCTTTCGTTTAAGAAATTCGTCTGTTATCAAACGCTCAATAGCAGATTTAAGATCAATCACAGCAACAGGTCGACGTTTTTCCAAAATTTCAATACTTTGACTTAAAAGTTTAGTCATTGACAATGTTTTTGCTTGTTTCATGATTCGAACAACGACAGACTTGAATTCTTCATTTCTGTTTTTTTCAATAACATCAACAACAACCTCTTTATCAATTGATGATCCTCTGCTAGATGCTGTAGCAGTAGCTGTCTCCTTGACTATTGGGAGTCTAATTGTCTTGGACTTGTCTTTAAAACCATGATTGAATTTAATCACATCTCCTTGCTGTTTTAAAATTTTGCATTTTCCTGTAACCATGGTATGCAACACTGCCTGCAAAAGAGTCGAATCCATCTTTGTTTTATCCAAAAGTTGATCAAAAGTATACTCATCAGAGTCATTAAACAAAAGAATGACCATTGCCTGCAACATGTTTGCAGTTATGGATTTCTCCCCACCAGCAAAATGACCAGCAATAGTCAAGTGATGCAACTTGTAGTTAGACCAATCCAAATTCTTTTTGCCATTTCTTTCATCTGCTTTGCAAAATTCTTTACAAAACTTATCTAGTACATTAGTGCATTCCGTCGGTAGTTGAACCGTAGACAAATCTTGACTAGGAATGTCGGGCCACATTGATTTTTCCAAAACTAAAGGTTTGAATTCAAACTCAGGTACGTCTATCAATCGAGAGTAGACCTCAATTGATGCCTTCAAGTCTTCAAACATGCTTTCCATATTGACAGAATCTCCGGCATTGCGAGCACCACTCAAAAAGATCATAACCAATGCATGTTCCTCATCCAAACTGGAAGTTTTACCCAATAACAATCTTCGAGACACATCCTTCTTGTAAGCTGTCAAAAAGTCAACTTTATTAGATAATGCTTCATAAATACTTTCAATGCGTTGGCAAAAAGTGGGGAATGAATCCACCATGGAATTTAGTTTAGATTTGAAGTACAAGTCACATAATTTGCACAACTGCTGTATTACGAAGGTGTTATTAACAGGTGTATTCACTACCTTTTGCAAGGATGGGAAATATAACCCTCTGGTGTCAAACTTGTCGGTGAAATGCAAGTCCATCTTCAGCCGGATATTCTCCAAAACAGCACTCAAATATAGTATTGCATTCGGGTATAATTGAGAATCAATCTGATTAGATTGGTATTTCTCAATAGCCTCTTGAAACTTCTTTTCACAATACTCTTTCAACACAAATTTCAATTTTAGCTCGCCATCAATTGCTTTATTCTTCTTTAAGTCAAAGCACAATTTCTTTAAGAATCGCATTTCCTGGGGTGATTCAAGCAACTTGTCCAAACCTTCCAAAACTATTTCATTAAAGTCGTCTCGAAAAATCAAATTGAATGTCAATTCATTTACCAATTCATCAATCACGGTTGTATCTACGCCACAGCTTGAGTAAAATGCACATTCCTCATCTATAATCATAAATCTCCTTCTAATTTCAAAGGCATTTTGGAACTTGTAATTACAAAACCATCCATGATGTTCATGTTTAAGCGGATAAGCTACCAGTCCCAACACGGCATGCGGAAACCTCTCAAACCATAATTTACCCGTGGGCCAAAAATACAGTATCAATGTAGTAAGTCCTTTAAAAGCTTGGCGTACCCGATTTACGAGCTCTTCAGGAAAAGTCTTCCAGTATTTTGCTTCATAAAACACAAAAGTTATCAGCGCATACAGTTTTAGTAAGGAATCTCCGTAGCTGGTGTTCTTTTCAGTACCAGGAGGTAAAAGGTCTGTAAAATATGTCTTTGTGAATTTTGACTTGCCGTATTCGACTATAGAAGACTTTCGTGACCGCAAATAGTTTCTTTCAAGGTAGCCAAACACTTGACTTAGTTTCACGATGGCCGTATTCCAAGTCTTCCAACCTTTGAGAACGCGTTCACAGACTTCCAAGGAGTGAAAGAGCTGTCCCCCCTCTGATTCCGTAATGCCTGCATCTTCGACATCTGCAATTGCGTTCTCG